CAAATAGCGGCACGCTTACAAACGCCTGTCCTGCTCTACAGACACCCTTAGTGCAGCTTTCCCCACCACTGGTGAGAGCACTGTGGAAAAAATCATCCAGGGGAGAGGTTGTGTGTTAGGGCTATTTGACTTTGGTTTTAGATGCCACTTGAAGTAGATGTGCCCATGATAATTGCTAGTCTATTTAAATAAATTTGTGTTTATAAAAATGAGTTCAACGATGTTGCATTTGCCTTCCCGGAAATCTCGTGGTCTGAGAGAGTCATAGGCATTCCTTTAGGATGCTTCTCCATTGTCAGGCCCTGCTTTGTGGGTCCGATTCCATGTTGCCAGTGAGAAAAGCCATTGCTTTAACAATCTAGAGTCCTTGTTAAATGAACTAATTCATTTGTTGACGTACTACATTAGATTTCAGGACTGTCCAACGAATACTTAGATTTGCAGCCAGTTGCTCCCACAATGAATATTTGGGTGTTTATATGAGTTCGTGACGAAGCAGGTGTGGAAATACAGCAGGTACTCAACACACACCATGGCGGTCATCTTTCTCCTTGGTAGTAGAACTGCAGAAGCAGCCCAGATAGAAGGGAGAGCTTGTGCCCAGGCCCAGGAAAGAGCTTGTCCCCAGGCCAAATCTCACTCATCACCGGTTTCTGTCAGTAAAGTTTTGTAGGAACACAGCCTTACCTGCTCATTTGCATACTGCCTAAACTGCTCTGTGCTTAGAGAGCAGCAGGTGGAGAAGACGCCACAGGCAGCATGTAGCCAACTGAGTCTAAACCATGTGCCACCCAGCCCTAGCCAGGAAAGTCCGCAGCCCTCTCTTCTAGACTGGAGCGCTGCGTGTAGCCCTAGCTGCACGGAGCAGCCGGAGCTGTCAAAGCGGTGGGTGTGGGCTGAGAGGTGTCAGATGTGAAACACACACCAGATGCCAAAGACCCAGTAAGAGGAAGACAGGAGAAAACCAGGGAAATAGCTCACCCATTTTAAATTATTGCAAATGTTGACCAATGTTGAAATGACAACATTTTACATAAGAATTGAGTAAAATATATGTTTAAACCAAATTTTACCTGCTTCTGTTTACTTTTGTTAATATGGCTATTCGAAATTTTAGATTTAAGATGTGTCTCATATGACTTTTCTAGAGAGATGCTGGTTGAGAGGATGCTGGGAGGACAGGTGGCCTCTAGAAGAACTTAGAATGAGGGGAGAGAGAACAATCTCTTGTGTCTGCAGTAGAACCGTTCATTAATTTGCCTATTTCTCTGCAGAAGCTGCAATCAGGAGGAATGGATTAGGGTGTCTGTGGAAAAGGAGTTAGTTGCTCCCCAGGAGCTGACCCTAAAGCTGGAATAGGGCTGCGAGCCAGGAAGCATCTGCGAGGGGCTGAAGCCTGAGGGCGGGGGGGCGGCGGGAGGGTGAGCTCGCCAGGGGCTGCTGCTGTGGGCGCCTCCCAGTGTGGGATTTGATGGAACAGGAAAATGCCCCCCGCCCCAGCCTGCCTGAAGAAGTGGGGCTGTTCACGCACCAACTGTCAGTGAGCGCTGGTGAGGCCGCTTCTCGAAGCCTCAGCCTCCCTTGTCCTCCCCAGCACCCGCAGCTGGCTCTGCCTTGGCACAGAAGTTTGCTGCCCAAAGTCAGTAGCAAGGGTGAGAAGCGTGAGTGCCCAGTGTGTGGGGTGGGCCCCGGGGGGCTTGTCGGGCACCGAACTGGACGGGGTGCTTGATCCTGGGATGCAGTGTCCACGCGCCTGGGGTGTGTTCCCGTTCGCATCCGCCCAGCACCCGCACAGGTGGGGAGCGTTGTCAGTCGGCATTTGCGGTGGACAGCAGCGAGACCGGGGATCCCTGTCCCCCCATTCCCCATCCAAGGGGCCCCGTGGCCTGTCACTTGGGATGCTGCTGAGCCCAGCATCCCAAGGACATACAGACGCTGGTGTTTTCGAGGCGAGAGCAGGAAACGACACTGGTTGACACTGTAGAGTGCCTCGTGGCTGCTTAGTCCCAAGACGCTGACGCCAAAATGCATTCTCTCTCCTGTCCGAAGCACTGTCAGGAGTCGCGGGCCAGTGGCCGCACTGGGCCTTAGCCCCAGAGCTCATGCCTCGCAGGGGTCCTGGGCTGGGAGCTGCGGCGCGCGGCCCGCGGCGGGTGGTCTTGTTGCCTTCCCATTGGGGGCTCTCTGGGCGCCCCTGCTGGGCCCGCTGGCACCCCCCCGCAAAGGGGTTCATCTGTCCCCATCTATAGTCCCTTGACTATGCATCCGAGCACTCAGTGCTTCCCGCCGACTTTGGTGCCACTTGTATTATTCAGCGTGGATAAGCCCAGCGGAGCTCAATAGGGCGATGTGTTCAGACCACGGGGTTTAGTCTATATGTTAGTTGATTAAAAACAGGTCTCCTACATGACGTGTGCTTAATAAGTGGAGGGAGAAGCAAGCACATGTTTGTCCCATCGAAATGTGTTGGATTGTATTTTTTTGGCTCGCTTTTGCTGACTGGCTTTAGAAAAGTCATTGCTATGGTCGTTGAACTGTAAGCAGCTGGATGATGTATTCCCCTAGAAGTTTCCTGCTCCGGAAGACCAGCCAAAAGGAAAAGTAAAAGACTTCCCTGAGATTAACGTCCCCGAAGAAGCTGACAAACATACGGTGCAGCGGTCATATCTAGATCAAGGACGCAGAATGATGGACTGCCTCGAAGTTCATCTCTACACTGACCACAGAGCGATTTGCAGTGGCAAAACCTTTAGCCCCAGGAGTAGAGATAGGCCTCGCATTGTGGTTGTTGTTAAGAGCTTTGGAAACCAATTTTTCTCTGTGTGAACGTTGTCACGTTAAAGTGGCACCTACATCAGGGTGCCTGGCGTGTTCTCTTCATTGTCTTCCTCTAAGTGAGAAGTGGTCATTTTTCTCCGCTAAAGTATCCATATTTGGCACATTCTGAGGGTTTCAGACCCCAAACTGGAGATTTCCTTGGTTGGTCTCAGTGCAGTCTGCACGCCAAAGCGATGAGACTGAGTGTTTTGACCGTTGTTCTAAAGCGTGATGGCCATGCTCAAACACGTGCACAGTCTCCCAGGACAGGGCGTGCTTCTGGACCTAGGCCAGAAGCCCAGGTATACGCTGGGGCCTGAGGTACCCCCACCTCCTCTGGAACTGAAGCCAGATGGAGCCCTCTTGGGCAGCAGCAGAGGGGCCTCCTCAGAGCAGAAGCCTGCATCTGAGAGAGCCCCCTCAGGGGACAACCAAAGCCCGAGGACCAGTGTGGGCGCCTGATTGGCCGGCCGTGCCAAGCCGCAACCCCAGCACAGCGAGTAGAGTTCACGTGGCATGAGCTCCAGACACAAGCCCAAGGCACAGATAAACACGACACAAACACCAGGAAACAGTGGAATTTCCTTTTCTCCGAAGAATTTAAAAGTAAGCATGTTCAGGGCTCTCGAAATTGTGAAGGAAGGAATTGCATCCGAGAACTAGAGCAGAAAGGAGCCCCACGTGAAGAGGGGACACGATCAAGAACCTACTGCAAATGGGCAGTGAGCTCTTTGACGTCACGTACAAAACAGCCGAGCGGTGGGAGCACAGACCCGGGGCTGGCAGGGCCAGGGGCTGGAGGGCCTCAGGGCTGCCCACTAACGACGTCTGCCTTTGATGCAGTAGATGAAAGTGATTCTTTTTCTGAATGTACCTTTCTAAATCCAAAATTGCGAAACTGGAAAGGGTAACTATTTAGGAAGTCATTGTCACAGCATAGTGAATTATCGCCTTTATGAAACTGCATTTTTAAAATCCCTCACACTCGGTCACAATCTTGTTCTCAAATGGCATCACAGATCCCGGACCTACTTCTTCCTGAAATTTTCTTTTGTTCTGCCTTCATTGTATTTTTGGACTGTGTGTTCAGATCCACAGCTGCCCTTTCGCCCCCTCCCTGACCTTGGGGGTAGGTCTTGGTTCTCGCCCCTGCCATGTTGGGCACCCCCCCCCAGGCTCCCCTCCACATCCACTCCCTCTCCCTGAGAAGTTTCCACTCTTGTCCACCAAAAGTTCCCCACTCCCCCTTCCGGCCTCAGCTAAAAGACTGTGCTCCAGGGAACTTTGTCCAGGCAGGAATTTCTTCTCTCCTTAGTGGCTCTCCCAGTGGCGCAGCCATCTCCTGTGGACAGGGAGCGCGTGTTTTTATTTTTGGTTCCCCGGTATCTATCTGTCTCAGAGTCTGACATGTAGTAGAAGCTTGGAAAATACTTGGATGAACGGGCGCATGGATGGATGGACGGTGTAAATGAAGAGTGAGCAGAAGGGTGGCAGTGGATGGTGCTTAATGGCTCTTACTGATAACAGAGGGTTCTTGCAGCTGCACGATTGAGAAAGCTCTACAGGGCTTTACATCGATGCTCCAAGGAGACAGGGAATAACCCTAGATTCTCAAGCAGGGTGATGAGAAAGCAAATGCAGCATTCAAGAACATTGATGTGGCATTGATAGTTTGATCAGCAAAGTGTAGAGGTGTGTACAATAAAATGCACTGAGTGAATAAAGGACTTCTTTTAGATATCTACACATGACCATGTTGTTAGCAATGGCTGGGCGCTGCAAGCCTTCCTCAGCCTGCCCACAAGATGGCAAATCCTAAAACTCCAACAGCAGTTGACTTGGTGTGGGAATATTTTATAGTCCTTATGTTATTGCCATTTCTGATTCAGGTAAAGGAGTAGAAATCTTTTTTCTCCCTACTTCATGACCTAAAAGTAACCTGTAAGTAATGATTTCATGTATATACCTGAGTTCAAATAAGAAGCAGGAATCAAAAGAATGAAATTGGAACATTTTTGAAAGGTTCTTTTAAATGCCACTTCTTGGAAGTTTAAATCTATAAATACTTAAAGCTGCATAGATTTCATTGCTGTTTCTGGAAAATGTCAGTTTTTCCCAATGTTAAGTAATTTTGTGTATATTAAAGTATGCAGAATAATATTTTTTCTCTCTCTTTTGAACAGCAAAACTTAGAGAGTAACCTCACCAACCTTATTAAGAGGAACACGGAGCTGGAGACCCTTTTGGCCAAACTCATCCAAACCTGTCAGCATGTTGAGGTGAGTATCTCGTGGACTGTGATCATGTGAACACTGCTAAATGGGACTTGTGTACCCTTGTCCTTTACATGTTTAAAATAGGAATCATCCTAAAATTAATTAGATTTTTGTAGAAGTCAGATGAATAAGGTGGATGAACTTGGAAGGAACTAGAACCTCCGAGTATCTCTCGCACCTGTTGTCTTCTCCTACCCCTCTCTGGTCACAGCCCTGTACACCTTTACCAGGAGCTCTGAATAGTATAGATTCTGATCGCCTTCACAAGAAACAGCCAGAAAAACTAACTGCGTGGTTTAAAGAGTGGCAGTGGTTTCCTGGGGCTCCTGTAAAATGACATCAAACCTCAGAAATTTTTTCTTTCACTGTTCTGGAAGCTAGAGGACCAAAATGAAGGATTCACTCTTGGTAATGAACTCTCCAGGGATTATTTTGAGTCTTGCGGATTGGAAAACATTGTAAATAAGAGTGAATAAGCACAATATTTTCATTCTTATAGGGCAAAGTCAGTATGTGTGGTAAGAATAGGTGGATGAAGAAAATGGAACAATCCATGAGCTATATTTTACTTTTACGATGTTTAGGTCAATATGAAAGAAATATTTCTCTTCAGTTAAAAGTCAAATGTCCTGTGTTTTATGGGGAAATCTTACAAATATTTTATGGATTAAGTGATTATTTCATTCAATTTCAGTTAGTCACTTGTTAAAGCATTTGTATCTGGTTTCCATTATGACCCAAAGTAATTTCCAAACAACTCACTTATTCCTGGTACTATATTAGTATGGCTTAAGTTTACAAAATGCTATTTGACCTAACATGAGGTAAACTTGCATTCTGATTTTTTTTTTTT